TAAGGAAAATATTTTGCGGCGGCACAATGCGAGTCAAAATATAAAACCCGTCTATTCCCGAAAAGTCTTAAGCCGCGTAAAATGTCTCGAGCGACATTTACGATGCGCCCCAAACAAAACGCTCCTTCTTACGTCCTCTTTTTATCGTCCTCTCGAGATCTCTCTTCCAATTTTGATGGCTATCCGTCCAGTGTGATTAGACAAACCCCGTGTGTAATCAGTTATTTAAAGAAAATGCTTAGAGCCGTTTCTCTATAATCACGCAGGGAAATGTTGTACGCAGCGGGATTACGTTTCATAAATTTAATGATACGTCGGGCGTCAATCTAGCCTCGATGACGGCGCCGCGGTTGGAAGCCGATAATTATTTCAATAATTAATTTTAGTTCCGCCCGTTTAATCGATTTCGGCCCCCAGGGCGATAACAAATATGCAAATCACCCGTGTACGCCCTACGCAGAATCGGCGCTGATCCCGATTACGAACAAGCCCCGCTTCATGAAGCGATCTTATTAAGTTTAACGTCGACTAAGTAAATCCGGCCTTCTCGAGTATTGCAGATGGAGCCTGATCGATTGTTTGCGATCATCAGGTAGCGTAGTGCATTGAATTTCAATCAACTGCGAATTCATCCGCGGCTGATTAGCTCAGGAACCTGTCAGCCAGTATTAATGGCAATTTTTGTTTTTACATCTTTATTTCTTCTCTTCGCACATAACTTGAGAACATTATCTCTCGCAATTTATATCGGTCTCTTGAGCGTTCTCATTATTGTTGAAATATTTCTTGGTGGATAACTCGTCGTGCAACAGGATTTGTAAGATAACGCGGGAGAAAAATGAAAAAGCGAGCCGTCGTATTCTGAATATATTATGCGATAGCGAATTTTGACCTTATCGGGCGGATTATAAATTGTGCTACAGGAGCACGTCGTCCCGTCGGTGCGGAATCCTAGATAGAACGCAAGCAAAAGACAATTAAACTTTCGCCAGAACTTCCAGAACGTTTTGCATCTTGGTTTTGCGGCGGTTAGCCCGCGGGCAAGGGAAAGAGATCGCGTGGATCTGGCGGAGGTGGAATGCCTACAGCGCTCGCTTGTCGTTCCATTTAAATGAAAATTAGTCGCCTGGTCGCCTGGTAGAAGGCGGTGATCAATTTGACACTTGCGCGCGGCTCGAGAAAATACACGATAACGATCGCGCGAACGAAAAGTTGTTACTCCTCGCGCGTTTTTTACGCGCAAATTGCAACAAAGAGTCGTAGCTTATTCAAACGAGGCGCGATAAGATGTGCTGCATATAATATATGCCGTTTAAAAAATAATTCTATACATTCTAATTACTTTATTCAGTTTATTTATGAAATGTCTTGAAATTTTTACGGTAAATTGTTTTACATAAAAAATCTTGTTGGAGTAAGATTGAGTATTATATCTAAATATTGTAGCGATTAGGTTGAGTAATCCGACACAACTGGCTACGGGAAAATATCCTTTATTATCACACAACATTTCTGTACCAATACAGCAATCACGCGTACATAGAGAGATATTATGTCTTTGTAGCGACACGCCTAACTGGATCAGTTTAGTCGACCTCAACTGGCACTTCAATAAATAAAAAATATAACGTGCAACGTTCCGACCATGGCTTTGGGTCTTTGTTAAGCACAAATTCTACAAGAAAAGAAACCAATAATCGGAGTTACACTCTTATCATAGGTACAAATAAAATAAAGAGATTATCATTCCTAGCTGGGCCTCATGGGATTTAACCACATACCATACGCCGACTTGACGCTGTTAAGAAACTTGAAAAGGGCCAAAACCCATGGCCGAAACGGTGCGTGACAATAAAGGATATTTTCCTGTAGCCAGTTGTGTCGCATTACTCACCCTAATTGTTGATTAATCACTGGCGATTTAATTATTCCAAATTGTGCTTAAATAAAATTTAGTGAGTAAATTTAAAAAATTGAATCTATAGAAATATTAAAAACGTCTCTTATTTTAAATATTTTTATTTTTATATTTTATTAGGAACTTTATCTGTATGCATACTTGCCCATTTTTCTTTGTTCGTATATTATCAAAATTGTATGTACGTGTGAATAAAATTAAACACGTTAAATCAATCGTTTTCGACGACGAACTTATTCTCAGCTTGTGCACAACTTCATTTCGATAACAGACTCAGTATTTGCGTCGAATCAATTTAAATGGCGGAAAGTGGAGCGTCTGGAAGGATCGAAGGTATTTTGAGAACCTGGATAGTGCGATTCGGACGAAGGCGGAAACTTGGTGGCGAGAAATTGAGGGTGGCGACGTGTCCTGTCGAGTGTTTTCGCAAGGCGGGAGTCGAACCCTTGGAAAAACAGACGCTAAATTGAAAGTGTCGTGCTGCAAGAACGCGAGGCTGCCTCTTTTCCATCTATCCACGTGACATTATCGTCGTGACGTCCTCCGCGAGTTTCTTGGTCGCATAAATTTGCAAATTGTATGATATTTAACATTGCGGTGCATTGCTCCAAATAGACGAAGATGTGATGAATTACTTGTAAAAGAAATTACAAAAATTGGCGCTTAGAAAGAAATGGATAGGAACAGATCTTATTCTTGACTAGAATATCCCAAATCATTTTACAATTTCTGTAAAATACACAAAGTTTGTGTTGTTGATTTTATTTCATGTTTCAATCAATCGAAATAAAGGCTAGATTGTGCTGGACGCGTTGATGCAATTGGCATTTTTTACTTGAAACTCGAAGTTCAATTTCTTAGTCAATTAAAACATCTCGCAAAATTCGCTTGGATAGCTCCGCATCTACACGCGCGTAAACATTAAATTACCGTTTAATTCTTTTATTTGTATCAAATCGTACCAAACTCGCCCGAGTGTTATCTTGAATTTAACAGATTTAACATTGATTTTAAACGTTTGAGTTTAACGTTACGAAACATGAATATAGACCGTTATATCTGAACAGCCTTCATAGGCTATTGGAACTGATTTTAAAGTCAAATTGATTCACGTGTAATGTAATTTATTGTAAAAATATTTATGAGGAAAATTTCAATTTTGGAAACAAGCTATACTACGTTATAGAAATAAATACGAGAAATATTGAGGATAGATAAGAGATCATTTCTCTCTTGGATAGAAGTTAATAAATTTTGCGACGGGTTCAAAATAATCCGTGAACATTACAATTTTTTCAATGTCCATATCCAGCACTTCCGCGGAACTGCCAGTTGCATGGTATAACAAAGGCATACGAATATTTCACATTCGATGAGTCTCACAAGCAACGCCAATGTCTCGTCTGCGGATTTGAATCTGATTTCGTCATTGGTGTTCCATTAAGGAAAAATTTAAGGAAATCGAAATACTTAATGAAATATGCATTTTCGTTACGCGATGTCTATCGCTTACTTAAAAAAAACAACAACAACAACAAAAAGACGCGCGCTATGAGACCCCAATCACACGGCTGTTTGAGATAATTCTTATCACTGTCACCCTAAACATCCCCGACACTTTCTCAACCTTCGGCCGAGGCACCGCGCGCATGCAACTATCACTCGCTTCCGCCGTTTCTGCTCTTCCGGGCAAGGTCCACCGAGATCACCACCTTAATCCTCGTGCTCGTTGTCCGCTCTCGTTGGTACCGCGAAAAGTATCCGACGGCCGATGGCCGCGGAAAAATTCCGCATCGCGGCGTGCGGCACGGCTGGTCACGACCCTCCTGAGCCCTTGCGCGAGGTGACGAGGGCGTGACCGTGCGAGCGACTACGGTGCGGTTATTGGCAGTGCCTGCCGCGGGGCGGTCGCTCGCCCGGCCGAGCGTCGTTCCGAACGGATTGGTCCGGCGGCGTGGGCGGGGCCGCGCGTGGCCCCGCGGCCGCGCGGCCAATGGCGTGGCGCGACGTGTAGGGAATCTCGTGATTTTTCGTAGGCGCACGAACGGCGCAGCCGTTCTCCGGCCGCGCCGAGCACTACGATCCGCGCGCGACGCCGAGCTCCCAGTGTGTTTTTACTCGGGGTTGAGTAAACTCCGGCCTGTTGTGTATCATAATACCGTAGCGTGCACACGCGGGTGCTAACGGGGTTAGCGTGCGTCCTCGCGCTAGCGGCCGAGTCGGCACTGTTCAACTGAATGCACCTTCGCCTCCTGTCTTCACCGCGGCCTCGCACACCCGTCCGTCTTCCGCGTGTCTGAGATGAGATTTTCGGGACACGGTCAACAAGAATATACTATCACGCAGCAGCGGGGCGCGCCGTAGACTCCACGAGCGACGACGCGCTAGTTTTTCCGGATATCAGCGCGATCGCTCGTTAGACACCTATCGGTATCTCTGCCACTTGGGTATCCAAGGTACTTTGGATTACGTGGTCCGCGACGGTACAGTGACGACGCTCGCAAGTGCTCGCGGCGACAGATGAGAGTGATAGTGCGAAACGTGAGTTTTACCACGGGAACGAATCAGGAAAATAATGTTCGACTGAACAATTGAGGAAGACAATTGTATCAATCGGGAATATTTAATATTTGCCGAATAAGTGACACGAGTGGAATCGATACCGCGAAGAGAAGACTTGATAGCACGCAATAAATATAAAAAAATAATCTCGATGAATAGCCGCACTCTTGGGATAAACTGTTAACGTTCAAGGAACGCGTTATGTATTATTTATATATTTTACAAGATAACGATTGTAATTCTATCCGAGGTGAATAGTGAAGGAGAGCTACGAGAGTGACTTGTAATTCGAAAACACGTGAAAATATGGCATTCGCTATCTAGAGGGCAGTTGGAGGACTTCGGAGAGAAAAGAATTCGGAGCGAAAAGTGATGGACAATAGAATAGAAGGTAAAACAACTGCGTGAGACGGAGTTTTAAACGTGCAAGTGCCGCTGCTGAAGACACGGCGAGAAAGCGACGCTCCTGCCGCCTCTGATCCACGGGAGACGTGGGGTATCGCACGAGTCGGACGCTAAGAACGACCTTGAGAAACATGCGCGTTGCGGGATCGCCGCTGGAGGAATAGCGCGGCGTTAACGCAGAGAGCACGATTGACCAAATTGCGCCGGTTGGGACTCGGTGTTTCGATCGCGATCGTCGTCCGTGGATCGTACGGAGCGCGAGCGCGCGAAGATGCACACGCTCTTCACCGAGCAGAATGCGTACTATCGGCACGCGGCGACGGTGCCGATGGGCATGGGCGCGCCGTCGTACCCGGCGGTGGGCGCCCCCGGAAGTTACTACGACCAGTACCGGTACGGCGGCTACACGACGGCCACGGGGTATCCGATGTCTGGTATCAGCCAGCAGCACATCCATCATGCCGGCAAGGACATGGTCAAGCCGCCCTACTCGTACATCGCGCTAATCGCGATGGCCATCCAGAACGCGCCCGACAAGAAGATCACGTTGAATGGCATATACCAGTTTATTATGGACCGTTTCCCGTACTACCGCGAGAACAAGCAGGGCTGGCAGAACTCCATCCGGCACAACCTCAGCCTAAACGAGTGCTTTGTGAAAGTGCCGCGGGACGACAAGAAGCCCGGCAAGGGGAGTTATTGGTCCCTCGACCCGGACAGCTATAACATGTTTGACAACGGCTCTTACCTGAGACGTCGCAGGCGTTTCAAGAAGAAGGACGCGCTGAAAGAGAAGGAAGAGGCGCTGAAACGGCAGGGGATTCAACTGGAGAAGCGTCAGGAGGACACCAAGTCCGGCAGCAGCCAGGTCACGTTGCCGCCGCCGTCGGACACTCCGGCGAAGAAGCTGAGCGTTCTGGAGGCCGCCACGGGCCTGTGCAAACCCAAGCGCGAGCCGGTCAACGATAATCACTGTATGGCGGCGGCGGCCGCCGCAGCGGCGGTCCAGGCCAGCAAATACGGCCTGCACAGCCCGATACAGGAGGACAAGACGACGACGGCGACGGTCGCGCCCGGCCAGAGCGTGATCCAAACCGCCCTGGGCCACCAGGTGCACCCGACGCATCAAGTGCACCAGGAGCCGATCCAGGACGTGTCGATGGCCGGCCTGGACCCGACCAGCTTCAGCGTCGACGCGCTCATGACGCGGGAGAACAGCGCCGGCCTGATGGCGCGCGACAACCAGCACCACTCGCACCATCCGCACGGGCTCCAGCACCCGCACTCCATCATGAGCAGCAGGGAGTCCATGGGCAGCGGCGGCAGGGACCTGTCGTCCGCGGGCACCACCACGACCACCTCGCCGGCCGCGGTGGCGGCGATGATGGCCACCACCAGCTACGGGCACGCCAGCACCGTTTCCAGGGGCAACGCCTCGCCGCCCGGCATGTACACGCCGTACTGCGCGCCGGCGGCCACCGGATACGCCATCATGGACCACGAGTATAACACGGCAAGGAATCACGCGAGCAACCCGGTCAGCCACTCCGGCCACTCGCAGTGGTATCAGGACGCGAGTCCCGACACGGCGATCTATCAGGACACCCAGTCCCCGAGCTGCCAGCTTTACAGGTACGCACCAGAGCGAGTACCTGGCGTCACGCACGCCTCGAAATTCCAGTACGACGATGGAGGTCTTGCGCGACCGATAGACGATCATATCTATTTCTATACGCAGAACGTATAATACGTGGATCTCGATAGAGCTTGGATGATGAATAATAAGATTATTTTCGTATGAAGCGCCGTTGGGATTTAGTTGCGTCCTCCGGAACAATTTTTCTGTCGACGGTACTCCGGTTGCATTTAGTTGGTCGTGTCGATATTATATTACGCCTTATTTTGCTTCGTTCATGTTGTACAGTATTACATAGACAATAATAATAATTATCTATGAGAGAACAAGAAATTATGTAGTATGTAAGCGCAACAAAGATACATAGTCTGTGTACAAGCGGTAAGAAATAGGGAATGCAATTATAAGCAGGCCGCATTGATGCGCTGCTTTGACACTCAACTTGAGTAATAAGCACCATGCGTGATTAATACGACTCATAATAACGTAGCAGTCATATAGACAATCTATTGTGTCACCCTTTCTATGCGTTATTTTAACACTTAGCTCAAGGCTCGTGTAAGATCTCTAATTCACAAAGCACGACCGTTTATAGATATTAACAAATTTCTTTTATACGCGGAGAGAACTTTCCCTTAAATTTTGCAAATTTTACCGTACATTTTAGGCTCGGTTTCACCAACGTCGCTGAACTTTAAGCTCGGCTTAATTCGTTCTTTGTCTCTTTCCAACTGTTACTCTAGAACGAGACAAACCTGAATTAAACCAAGATTAAAGTTAAGCGACGTTTGGTGAAACCGGGCCTTACTAGCAAAATGTGTGCTAAAGCCAACGTGCCGCGATACCATTTCGTTGGAAAACTGCAGCCCGATTAGCTCTCGTAAGCAGTCCACACATGGGCGTATCCAGCTGCCCCCTGCCCCCCCCCCCTAGACTCAATGGGATCCCCATTGAGATTACGAATAACATAATTATTAGATTTGCTGAGGACTCCAGAAAATTAATTTTTATATAAATAAAAAAAATTTTGTACAAGTACGTAGTTTAATTTATGCTGCATAATTCGCCTACGGGTGAATCCTGTTCTGCTCCCCCCCCCCCCTAGACAAAAGTCTGGATACGCCCATGAGTCCACTGTAGGAAAAATAGTATCGTCTGCCGTTGGCTCGAGTATTGTTACTAGTAAAATGTATGGTAAAATTTCAGAATGCCATGTTGACCCACGATTACATGATTTTCGGGGTAAACTGCAAGAGAAACTTCCCTCCCCCTCCGCGTACCGATGGTCATCCGTGATTGTCATTCGCGCTGTCGAAATTTCTGAAAACTAAACAAATGTCATCGCTAACACAAGCTTTTGAACAACGCAAACAGCTGAATAACAATGTGAAGTGAAACGTGCGCTATCCACGAGAATGCGATCTTGTCGAATCGTATTCCACAATATTTTATCATCATACGTTCGTAATAATGAAACGCGGTGTTTGTTAGCGAGAATAGCGGCGCGCTAGGCTCTCCCTTTTTTTTAATTGTAGACAATAGACGAAATTAGAGAATAGGTGAATCTTCAGAACACGGTTTGATCTGTCGTACAGGTCCAGCCCGCCGACACCGCTTTCGACGGGCGCGGCGCCGTCCCCGCCGCTGTATCACAGATATTACCAAGACTGTAACGCCGTCAACACCAGCGGCAATCTACCGATAACGTTGCAAAAGTACTGAGAATATCGGAATTCAAGGTCCCATCAGCGGAACCTTGAAGAGCACCACGGCGATCACTACGATCCGGGCTTGATTTACGTCAAGCAGGAGTGGATACCCACGACGGACGACCTCGCCAAGGAGTGGAACTAGAAGGGTCGTAACGAGCACTGGTAAAGATCTAGTTTCTCGTATCGGATCGTATCCTCGTGCCGCGTAGAATCGCTCGTAAACAGGCGATTAGCTAATGCGAGCAGTTAGCGTAATAAATCGTCAATGTCTCCGAGGGCGTCGTTAATCGACGAGCGGTTGCCCTCGGGCCTAGAACTTTCATCGATTTCTACCGAAATCTCTTCGTGGAAGTATGTATTAAACGGACTCGCGATACCGGTCTTCTTCATTATTCCGCATCGTTGTAACATTTGTATCAGTCATCATTTAATTCGTAGTCTTGAACAATGTGCTGAATGACAAGTTTTTGTAAGCATCGAGCAACTGCGATGTCCGAGAGATTGAATTAGAGGAATTCGCGAAGAAAACATTCGGTTCAAAGGAATCCGAAGAGCGTGAGACTCGAGTAATTGAAATTAATAGTCCCCGCGTAGTGCATGAGGTATATTAAAAAAGTGCGTAAGCGAGAAGGAAAACGAATTTTTAAAAAGAATATTAGACTCCAAGATACATGATTATAAAAGTTAAACAAGGCAACGATAGGCAGGGCGCAAAAATCGGAGCGCAAAGAAAATGAAAGTCGTCCCTCGCGACATCGATCGAGTGGCTGGTTTTTTTTTATATTGGATGCATATTTCGGTGTAAATTGGGACTTTTCTCAACAGAACAAAGCCAAAAAATGAAAAAAAACCAACTGTCCCAGTCGTAATTTTTATCAGATTTAAAACAACTCTGACAATGAGTTTATAATTTTAATTCGTGAATTTTTTCGTCTTCGTACGCCGAGAGACGATCTGCAATAAACTGTAAACTCGATAATCGCACGAGGCGGTTCTTATTTCAATTGCCTCGCTTTAAAGTCCGATCTACAATGTGCTCTGAAACATTAATGAAATATTTTGTTTTGGTGGCCAATACGCTTAAAAAATTTGTGCATTGTGTTGACAAATTTTTTCAGACATATTGATTTGTTTACAATCACCAAATAGAATGTTTCTAATTGCAAAGAGCACACTGTAGATCAGGCTTCACGAATGGTGAACGCGAGTGAACGTCCGGGACAAGGAAACAAATGCGAGTTTCAGGGTAATCGCTGCCATCTACGCAAACATCGCGGGACCGGTCGCCGACCTAGCTTTTTGTTTTCCGTTGCCGTTTTCGCGCCCATCTGTGCAAACCACCGTAAATCGCGCGAAAACGCCGGGACGATCTCCGGCCGATCATCTGTTTCCGACAGATAGCGATAAGGACAAGTCAGAGTCACCGTCCCGGATCGTTCGGCTCGCGATCTTTCCGCGTGACTCGCGTCACGGCGCTCGAATCGCGTTATTCCCAGAGACCCTGTAATCAGAGACTGGCCATAAGAGGAGTTCGTCAAATTCCTGCGAGTGAGAGAGAAACGTAGGCTCTCTCACTCGTCTACGATCGTAACGAAACGGAATTCGACGAACTCTTGTGGCTCCGATCGTAGGGTCTCTAGCTATTCCGATATTCCGCAAATGCGACCCCCGCGTTCGTATGCGTTTCCGCTCCTTCCGCCAGAATGTCCTTGGAATGGGTTGAAAAAGTCATTGTTTGCTTTGCGCGGCGCGTTTTGCATCGAGTATTTCCCCGATCACGAAATGTTCGCTTTTTTTTGCACGGCAGCCGTGATTATTTTCGAACGAGCGGTCCCAGAATTTTCGCATTTTATGCGAACGCTGTATCGTCAGACACGTAACGAACGAACGAGTCACGCCAGCGGCTTCGGGGAACAAACGGGTATATATCGATAGGTTGTTTTACCGCGAATAGAGACTAATGATAAATAGAGAAGTTTTCATATTTTAGAACGCGGGATCTGCGGGATTTCCCTCGTGAACGTTCAATAGCGATTTAGGTGTTACTTCTAGCAATCATTTTGGCGGTATGCAATATAACTTTCTGTTTTATTTGTACTCGCTTTGGCGGAAACGCGCGCTCGCGATGGACACACAGCAAGTTAAGATTTCGACACACTTTCAACGCGAACATATTAATCGACCGAAATCGCAAAAGGTGATAATTGTCGCGATTTCAGGCGTCCCGGTGTAGGTGCGAAATTTACATCACGATGTACATGGCGCGCCGAGAAAAGCTAATTGTAGTCTCCTAATAGGTTTTTAGTGTCGAAACGGTGAAAATTCATTGCGCTTCAGTCCTCACCTCCGAAGGAATGTTTAAAGTTGTTACGAAGGCGGCGAGAAGCATTGTAAAAAGAAAAATAGCTTTAGCGATTAGTGAGATATTGTACTTTCTTCGCAAAATTGCATCGCGTCCTTGTGCATTTAATCACGTGATAACCTTCCTCGGTGCCGGAGATTCGTGCGGTACTCGATGAAAGAGAGAAGTGAGATAATTCTATACGCATAGGTATATTTATTGATCATAAACACGGATCATGTGAATAATAATTAGCGTTAATAAATGCTCGAATCTGCGTGTATATTATTACGAAGGATGAAGCAGCATAGATAGAATAAATAGAACAGATCTATATGTATACATATACAGTATCTATATGTGTATATACGACGTATACATATATATATAACAATATATGCATGTATATACTTATACGTGCGGACATATTGATATTAATATTACTATTAGTACGCTATTACGTATTAATACGTAAGACACACCTACGAAATAAACGGAAAAAAATCTCGAACGATGTTTCGCCTCTCTTTCATACCCCGCTACGAATTCCACTTCTTTTTTGGCGCGCGCGCGCGCGCCAGGCGCATCACCAATTGTTTTGTTTGCGCGGCGTGCACTTACGAAAGTATTATTGTCAGTGAAAACGCGCCCGAATGTTTATTGCTTACCGCGCGCGCGACGTTTCGTGTTTGGACGCGAAATATGTTTTTATATGTTTGTACTTATCGGCGGAAATATTGATCACCGCGCTGTGAAAATAAGCTAAGTAGACGTGAAAATAACTCGCTGTTTAATTGTCGCATCGCGCCGGCCGACCGTCCAGTTGTGCTGCAATTTTGCTCAAGAGCGTCGCCCGCGCGTTTACCGTTTTATATTTATTATTTAGTAATTTGTACTTGCGCGTTTCGAAAAACAGAGGATATCAGAAGAACGGAGGAAAATTAGCCGCGTATCGGCGAAATGCGAATTGTTACGGACATATTTAATATTAAAAACAGCACGAGATGATAGAAAATTTCGCACGACTCAATTTATTTGCGTGATATCCGTAAAGCGGATTCCTCTTCGATTGAAATCGACACGATTTTCTCCTTCGCAAGATTTTCCTGTAATACCTTGTTAAAAATAACGTTTCACCTGCGCGTACCGCTATATATTTTCCGACACATAATTCTACATAATTAATTCCCCGCATTAATCCCGTGTTTACATTCTTCGTGATAAACGAGCGGCCGAGACATTTCCGCGCGAGGCCCGCAGCGAGATTGTTGGCGATGAAAATGACAGACCGGAGTTTCGCGGAATCCTCGATAGATTAATGTCGCGTCTCGTAACACGAGAGCGGAAACGTTTATGCCGCGCCAGCGGCCAACCAAACCGAATCGGCGTTTCGTCTTTTCCGCGCCGCGGGATTTACGACGATCGCGCGCGGATCTTGCGCGTGTCTCGCGCATCCGCCCGCTCGTCCGACGCTCAACCGCGTGATCCCGATCCGCATTGCCCGATTAATTTTAGTAACGATCCGAGAATCCGTTATCCCGTCGACGGCGAGGGCGCATTGATTATGGCCGACCGGATCGAGAGGTGGAGCACCGAAATATCCCACGTCGTTCTTTCGAAATTACCGAGTGGTAAACCGCTGACCAAAGTCATGTATGCCAATGCCTACTAATGCCCGGTGGGCATTGCTTCATCTTGTCATCTTATTTAGCTTGGTTTGTCTTATTTTTATCCTGTTTTTTCTTCGTATTTCATCTTATTTTAACAAATTAATGAAGTTCGTACGGCTCAAGTGCAATAAATTTAAAGGAATAAAGGACTAAGACCCGGTTTCACTAAACGTCGCTTACCTTTAAGCGTAGCTTAATTCATTCTTTGTCTCTTTCCAACTGTTAATTTAGAAAGAGACAAACACGAATCGAAATTTATCATCAAATGTAGTCATCACTACACATCTGGTAAATCCTAAAGGAATTCTGATTCGTCCATTTTCTAACAGACGACTGGTTGAATCTGTCAGATTTTTTTTTCAGTGTTCATCTTGTTATCTTATTTAGCTTGTTTTGTCTTCTTTTTATTTTGTTTTATCGTATTTCATCTTATTTTAACAAATTAATAAAATTCGTCTGGCTCAAGTGTGATAAACGCAAATTTGAAGGAATAAAGGACTAAGGCCCGGTTTCACTAAACGTCGCTTACCTTTAAGCGCAGCTTAATTCATTCTTTGTCTCTTTCCAACTATTAATCTAGAAAGAGACAAACGTAAATGAAACTAAGATTAAAGTTAAGCGACGTTTGATGAAACCGGACCCAAGCGCCGTGGCAGGGTGTTAGTGTCAAAAGGCCAGTTTCACAAACATCGGTTAACTGCTAACCGAAGGTTAATTGATCCTCTGTCTCTTCTTAAATGATAAGATGGAAAAAGATAGGGAGTCGACTGAACCCTAGTTAACCGATGTTTGTGAAACGCCCTAAATATTTCATGTTTTAAATTTATTGCGAAAAATATTACTTCAGCCAGTTTGAAGCTGGACCTCCCTCTTACTAGGCGAGGTATATTCGAATTGGTTGAGACGACTTTGACCGATTAGTTGCATTTCCTAGTAGCACAATACATTGTCGCTGTTCTGTCGAGCGTTTTTTTGATGTTTCAACCACGTCGCAGGTTTTTCCACGCGACGCCAGAGACTTAAAACGCGGATTCTTTGTGTAGAATAATTTATTAACAAGAGCGAGATAGTGTCACAAGGCAATTGCGGATCGAAGATGTGCGCGCAGCCGGTCGGCAGGTCAAAAGTGTAACTTTCCAGTAGAGATCGGAGATGTTGCTTCCCGAGAAATTTCTAACGGAGTCTTTGGCAATAAAATTCTCGCGCTTATACAGTTCGATGACGCGCGTCACGCAAAATCAGCCGAATTCGATCAAGTTTATCCGAAAATATGGCAAACATCGGTGACAACGTTCAAATTGAACTTTCCCGATTTTTTTAAGTTCGCGCTCATGACCCATCATGTTTTCTTGAAAAAGATTGTCATCATTATTATTTAAACGTATAACTGAATTCTCACTCTTTGTCCTCGTACAGGCGCGAAATAATGTAAATCTGGTATTTCCAATATTGGCCCAACAATGTGAGATGGACGCCTTCTCTTGTTTAGCCAATATGTCTGTTTAGCAATATTGGTCTCATATTGCATCAATATTGTTATTACATTCTTAAATATTGACCAATGCGCTTCCAATATAAATCTAATATTACCTATATAATTATTATTGTGCAATATTTACATTTATTTCATGGCCAATAATTGGCTTTACGTTAAGCGATATCGGCCGATGCATTTCTAATATAACCAACATTGGATCAATATTTAGTCAATGTTTAGCCAATGCACTGTGTTACTATAAGGGTTCTTTCAAGTTTCTGCATAAGCCACTACATAAACCGCATTCATGAAAAACAATCTACAGTTGAACAAACCAATAATAATTGAAGTGATTGAAGTGGTCTTTCGGTCGAAACCATGAAAATCCTAGAAATTCTAGAATATCCCGTGAAGAAACGTCCATGTCAATATTTGACGGTGAGAAAA